TAAACACATCAATTGGTAGAATAAAAGACATGCAACAAGTACCAGAATAAAACTGCCGGTCGGCCATCTAAATAATATGGGTTTGCTTTAAATAAAGTGAAACGGGAGGAAAGAAAAAAAAAAAAGTAAAAAAAAAAAAATATACAAAAAATAAATAAACGAAAAATAAAACGATGTTACTTATTCGAAATTTAAATAAACCACAATTTAAAAATCGATTGTCACTATATTCTTACTTTAAGATAAATGATCGCCATTTTTTATTACAAGAGAAAAATAATAATAAAAATAAAATAAAATTAATGACGAAAAATATAAAGAAAAAATCCATATTTCCCTACTTTCATGATTCTTGCTTTTCAGGTTGAATCGTCCAGCTGTTGTATTCTGGTACACTTGCATGTCTTTTAATCTACCAACCGGTGTGTCTACTTACATTCAGAGTTTGATCAGCCTATGAACTTTTCAGTCAACCCGCGTAAGATGTTTGGGATCCAAAAGGCAAAGGCAAAACGCGGTAACACTGTATGCTAGACTATATCCGCAAATTACCATCACTACATTAGCAGTTCACCTGGAGAAACGAAAACCATATTGCTGGTCTGAAAAAAAAAGTTTTATTCTCCCAAGTTTATAATGACATGAAAGCGATAAGGGGAATACAATATAGAAAATAAAAATACAAAAATGGTGGTGTTCCTTTTTATGATTAGAGTTTGGGTCAAAAGCTTTTTAGAATGACACTGGAATTTCTTTAACTCCTCTGCTTTCCACAATTACTTTCTTCAGCACTGAAAAACAGCACCTCCAAAAATCCAAACAACAGGATCTATATTTTAACTAATTTTAAGTACCATAAACATTAACATTACGATGCATAAAAATGGAGTACTGCCATATATGAGCTACACAGTCTTCATTTTCCAGTTTCTATAGAATACAGAGGCGTCTACGCTGCCTTATGGGTGATGAATTATTTTCTATCCTACAAACTCTTTCCCTCCCACGAAACGACTCAAGCCTCTTGCTATTCTATTGTCAGTCACTTCTATGGAAAGATTTCAGACGAATTACCTTCCTTAGTTTTACAAATTCTAACCTTCATATCTGAGACCTGCTATGCCACAGACATCGTAAAGAACCACTCTCATTCCCTTCGTATTCCATTGGTGGGATATATAAGTTCTACTCTAGCTGCTTCTTCCTACGAAACACTGCTTTGTGGAACCAAGTCCCAGGGTTATACTTCCCCGATTCCTATGATCTTAAACTGTTCAAGTCTAGGGGTCAACTGTTAACTTCCCCACATATCGGCAAAAACTGTACCTCTTTCTCTGTAAAGGTACTATCTCGAGTGGCTCTTGAGCTTTGTACCGGGTGAACATCTTTGTATAAAAAAAAAACAATTGATGTCTCAAAAATCATTAGCTAAGTATCAACACTTGGCAATATGTATACATATATTAAACTGATCCCTATACAACAGGAAATTAACATACTTAGCTTGAAGTGTGTGTGTGGGGGGCATTTGTCTGCATATGTATAAAATATATATTTAATCTATAAGTACTTTGTATAAACTTTGTGTGCCAGAATAAACAATTTACAGCCAATTTTTGCCACCTTTCTAACATCTTATCCTATAGACCAAAAGTGTCTCTACGTCCTTGTTAGTGACATTATTTTCACTCCAACAGCCTTTCCCCCCCCACAGATAAAACGTAACAAACCTTTTGCTGTTCTATCACTCTATTCCAACAATCTACCTTCCTTAGTTCCACCAATTCTCAGCTTCAAAGCCATGCCATGCACAATAGAACCAATGACCCTCATTCCTTTCGTATTCCATTATGAGCTACACAGTCTTCATTTTTCAGTTTCTATAGAATACAGAAGCGTCTACGCTGCCTTATGGGTGATGAATTATTTTCTACCCTACAAACTCTTTTCCACCGACGAAACGACGCAAGCCTTTTCTATTCTATCGCCATTTCCATGGAAAGAGTTCAGACGAACAACTCTCTTTAGTTCCACCAATTCTAACCTTCAAAGCTCTGCCACGCACAATGGGGCGAATCACCTCATATCTTTAGTATTAGATTATTGAGATGCAAGTTCCACTCGAGCAGCTTCTTCAAGCCGCTTTGGGGAACCGACACGCTTAGACGATGCTTCCCCGATCAGTACAATCTGAACCTGTTCAAGTCTTGAGTTAACCGTTGCTTCCTTACATCTCATAATTTGTGCCTCTTGCTCTGCATCTATCTACTGCAAGTGACTCTTGGGATATATAAGGGTGAAAATCATTACAAAAATGATTTTCCAAGCGTAGCTTAGATGTGGCACAAGGCTGAAAGTAGGGGACATCCAGTGAGGATCAAACTTACTACTTAGTCGTAATTGTTCTAGCGAGACAAGCTTGCTAAACCTTACACCACCTCAAGGTGCCCATATTGATTTTTCAAGCGCAGCTTAGATGTGGCACAAGGCCGAAAGTATGGGGCACCCAGTGAGGATCGAACTCACTACTCAATCATAATTGTTCTGGCAAGATAAGCTTGCTAACCATTACACCGCCTCAAGGTGCCCATAATGATTTTCCAAGCGTAGATTGGATGTGGCACAAGGCCGAAAATAATGGGCACCCAGTGAGGATCGAACTCACTACTCAGTCGTAATTGATGTAACCAGACAAGATTGTTAACCATTACACCTCCTCGAAGTGCTTATAATGATTTTTCAAACGTAGCTTAGACGTGGCACAAGGCCGAAAGTAGGGGCATCTAGTGAGGATCGAACTCACTACTCAGTCGTAATTGTTATAATCACACAAGCTTGCTCAGAATTACACCGTCGCGTGGTGCCCAAAGTGAAAAAGTATATATAATATATATATATATATATATATATATATATATATATATATATATATATATATATATATATATATATATATATATATATATATATATATATATATATATATATATATATATATATATATATATATATATATATATATATATATATATATATATATATATATATATATACTTTGTACGTATTACCTCTGCGAAGAAAATGAGGGTGGGGGTGAGCCAACATAGTTTTCAGAAATATATATTAAATTAATACGTTTACCAGCTTCTCTGATAAGTACACTCTTCTAAAATTTAAACGCAACATCAATCATCTTCTATCTTCTTGGAATCCGTTCTTCTTTTGTCCTTTCCTCAATCCTCCTTATATTCAGTCTTTTTTCTCGTTTTTCCTCTCTATAAACCCCGGCGTGCTAGTGGCATTCCCGTTTTGCTTAAAGTGAAATTATTAAAAAAAAATTACTATTAACTCTTTAGCAGGGATTTTACAATTCACGTTATAAAACACAGAGCCAACCAACGGATCTGATAGAAGTTGAAAGGTTTGTTTTGTTTTGTTTTATGGCATATCAACCGTGATGGCCCAAATAAGTTATACAATATTCCTTGCACCATAATTCCACATTCTTACTTACCATTCTTTCGACAACCAGCATAACACGTCCGACTAAGACTATTTGTCGAAAAGGCCATCCTGGTATATTTACGCAATATCTCATCACAAATGTTCAAAATTTCCTTCGCTTGCGTCTACACACACATGCACTCGTCTGATCATTGCATGGCGGACCTTTCAAACACTCCTACATGGTGTCGAATGTTAAATACATCGACAAGATTTTTATTGCTGGTAGTATTTTTTGCCGAAAAATGTATTGCTGCTAAGTTCTCTTTAAAAATTAATTTCTGGTAATAATTTTTCCAAAAATTTATTGTTGTTATTAAAACCTATTTTTACACTTTCATAGTGTTTTGACCCCAGTTTGGGGGTTAACTATTTGCCCATAGCTAGAACCCTAACAGACGCTACAACTCCGGGTGCAGGTGAACCTGGGAAATCCAGTAAGAGGTGGTTCTCCGTTCCTTAAAACATCCACATTAGAGGTATTGCTGTTGGATGTAGTTTAACATCATACCGAGAACACGGATGTATTTTATCGTCCTACTCAGGACGTGAAGTTTCAAGTGAGAAACTTGTGTTAGTAAACTGAAAAAGTATTATTAGAAAAGCCTTACTTTCATGTTCTGAAAGAGTAAATGGCTCAGAAGAGATGTGTTGATTTTCGTAACCCCTCAAGATTACAACTATAGCTCATCTGCCTTTTCGTTTTTGTGCTTTCTCTATTTATTTTTTTTTTTTTTGCAGAATAATCCGTATTTTCTTGTTTCAACCAGGTTATTTGGAGAGTGAGATTAAAAGACGAAGATTAGGAAAAACAGTTTGATTAAAGACAAACAAATTCCAGACGCTGATTATTGAACTGCTCAGCAAAGTCAACATTGGCCGGTTTCCAAGATCTCCGCCATATTGACTCGTTCATGCTTAATGTCGACCATTAAACTTCCGCTCCCACGAGAGCTTCTAACTTGAAATCATCACTGGATGCTTGCTCATTCGACCATTCATAGGAATTTGCTGAAGAAACAGGTTTTATTCTCCCAAGTTTAGAATGAAATGAAAGCGATAGGAGAATGAAATATAGAAAATGAAATAAAAAAAAATGGCGGAGACAAAAATGGTGGTGTTTCTTTTTATGTTTAGAGTTTTAGTCAAAAGCTTTTTAGAATGACACCGGACGTTTATAAATGTTGAAAAGTGATATTGTAATTATGATTTCTTTTTTTTTGCCTTTCTTTCGTCTTAGTATTCACTAACTATATTTGTTCTAATTCTGTAAATCTACTTTTTAAATAATTATTCCTGGTTAAAAAAATTAGAGCGATAATGAAATATTGCGAGGAGAAATCAGACATGAATACGACAAAGAAGTTGAAGAAAGAAATATTTAAATATATAACGGTAAAAAGAAACAAAAATAACGACGGTGAGTGAAGGCAAAAAAATTAAATATGGAGAGATAGGAATCAACGATTGAACGGAGATATAGAATTCAAAGTGAATTAAATAAATGATATGAAAAGTGAGGAAAGAAGGAGATAAAATATTATAAACAAGGTAAGAAGAAGAAGAGGAAGGAAAAATAGATTACGATGACGAGAAATATAGTAAAAAAAAAGAGAAAGAAAGAGAAAGAATGAGAGTAAAAGAAAGAAAAAGTAAGAGAAAGGAGGAAAGTAAAAGAGAGAAGGAGAGTAAGAGAAAGAAGGACAGTAAGAGAGAGAAGGAAAGAAAGAGAATAAAGGAGAGTAAGAGAAAGAAGGACAGTAAGAGAGAGAAGGAAAAGAAAGAAAATAAAAAGGAGAGAGAGAGAATGAAGGACAGTAAGAGAGAGAAGGAAAAGAAAGAGGAATAAAGGAGAATAAGAGAATGAAGGAGAGTAAGAGAGAGAAGGAAAGAAAGAGAATAAAGGAGAGTAAGAGAAAAGAAGGACAGTAAGAGAGAGAAGGAAAGAAAAAAATAAAGGAGAGTAAGAGAAAGAAGGACAGTAAGAGAGAGAAGGAAAGAAAGAGAATAAAGGAGAGTAAGAGAATGAAGGAGAGTAAGAGAGAGAAGGAAAGAAAGAGAATAAAGGAGAGTAAGAGAAAGAAGGACAGTAAGAGAGAGAAGGAAAGAAAGAGAATAAAGGAGAGTAAGAGAAAGAAGGACAGTAAGAGAGAGAAGGAAAGAAAGAAAATAAAGGAGAGTAAGAGAATGAAGGAGAGTAAGAGAGAGAAGGAAAAATGTGAATAAAGGAGAGTAAGAGAAAGAAGGACAGTAAGAGAAAGAAGGAGAGTAAGAGAGTGAAGGACTGTAAGAGAATGAAGGACAGTCAGAGAGAGAAGGAGAGTAAGGGAATGAAGGACAGTAAGAGAGAGAAAGAAAGAGAGTGAATAAAGGAGAGTAAGAGAAAGAAGGACAGTCAGAGAGAGAAGGAGAGTAAGGGAATGAAGGACAGAGAAAAAGAGAGAAGGAGAGTAAGACAGAGAAGGAAAGAAAGAAAATAAAGGAGAGTAAGAGAATGAAGGACAGTAAGAAAGAGAGAAGGAAAGAAAGAGACAGTCAGAGAAAAAGGAGAGTAAGAGAAAGAAGGACAGTAAGAGAGAGAAGGAAAGAAAGAGAATAAAGAAGAAAAAAGAGAAAGAAGGACAGTAGGAGAGAGAAGGAGAAAAAGAAAGAGAATAAAGGAGAGTAAGAGAAAGAGAATGAAGGAGAAGGACAGAGAGAGAAGGAAAGAAAGATAATAAAGGAGAGGAAGAGAAAGAAGGACAGTAAGAGAGAGAAGGAAAGAAAGAGAATAAAGGAGAGTAAGAGAATGAAGGACAGTAAGAGAAAGACGTAGATTAAGAGGAAGAAAGACAGAAAGAGGAAGGATTAGATAAAAGGAAAGAATGAAATTAAGACAAAGAAGGAAATTAAAACAAAGGAGGATTGTAAAAGAAAGAAAGTAAGGGAAAGAGGGGCTGTAAAAGAAAGAGGAAAAGTAAGAGAAAGACGGAAATTGAGAGAAAGAAGAAGCGTAAAAGAAAGAAGGAAATAAGTGAATGAAAGACAGTAAGAGAAAGGAAGAAAGTAGAACGATGTAAGAGAAGGACAGAAGAGTAAAATGTAAGAAGAGAAAAATGAAAGCGAAAGAAAGAGTTAATGAAATAAGTGAGAAGAAAAAATCAAGGGGAGATTATGAACAAAGTGAGAAACGAGAAAAAGAAAGACTAAAGAAGAGATGAAGAAGAAACTGAGACGAGAGAGAGAGAGAGAAAAAAAAAAAGCGAGGATTATGAAGAAAGTGAAAAACGAGAGAAGGAAAGGAAAGATAGGATTAAGAATAAAGTGAGACAATAGATGAGGAAATGAATGGAGAACAGATGAAGAAGATGAAAAGAGAGAAGAACAGGAAAGGATGAAGGTGAAAAAAGAGAGAAGGAATCAATTAATGGAAAGGAAGAAGAAGAAGAAGAAGAAGAAGAAGAAGAAGAAGAAGAAGAAGAAGAAAAGAAAGTGGTAAGAGAGAGAAGGAACAGAAACGAGAGCTGATGAATAAAATGAGAAGGGAGTGAAAGAAAAGATCAAGGAGAGATGATAGATCAAGTGAGAAGTAAAAGTTAAAAAAAGAAAAGAAAATCGAGATTATGAACAATTCAGAGATATTGAAGAAACGGAATCACTTTTAGAACGATGTCTCTTTTTTTTATATGCCTTGTCCTTTCAGGACGTAGACGATCATGGTTCTCCACTTCCCCATATCCCTTGTAGCTCTCAATTAGTTCCGTCTCTCTGCCACCTCACCCAGACCACGTTCTGACATCCACTTGCTTAAGCCCGCCAGGTATTTCATGCGTTGCTTTCCCTTGTCTCTCGTTCCCTCCATTCGACCTGTGTGTATCAGGTTCTCCAGGCCCTCCGTTCATATTATTTCTCCCAGAAATTTCATCCACCTCTTCTTGATGTTAGCTATAAGCTTCCACCTTTTTTGCATCCACTCTAAAACCTCACACGCTCGGTCCATAATATCCTTACTATCCTTCTGTAGAATTACATCTCCGTCGCCTCCTGTCTCGTCTTCATCTTTGGGGAAATCGTCCAACATTCGCTGTCGTAAAGGATGTTAGGCGTCACGTAGCAGCTCATTACTATTTTCTTTGTTGCGAAAGAAATCCTCCTGTCTCGCGATACTTTGCCCAGCTTCTGAAATGCATCACTGGCCATCCCAATAGGTATTCGGATCTCAGCGTTGCACCTTCCGTCCGCCGTTAAAACTCTTTCCAGATGAGAGTTTAAACAAGCGATGCAGTTTCATCCTTATTTTACCAAGAGACATAAAGACAGTACCACTGCTAAGATCCATCAAGTGTTAAAGAGAGGAGATAGAGGAGTTCACTGGTAAGTCATTGCTGAGATTGACGAAAGTCGTAGAAGATGCAGGAAAATAAATCGTTCACAAGCTAGCGAACAACATTTAATTATAATTTTCACACACACACACACACACACACACACACACACACACACACACACATATATATATATATATATATATATAAAAGAAATATAGTCTTAAGGTGTGCTATATTTATGGGATAAAGTGCTCAATATCAGAGATAGAGCGGGGTAAATAAAATATAAAGTTATATGCAATCGTCAGGCCTGACGATTGCATATAGCATGAAACAGACTGTCGCCTCTAAGTGTTGACTTATGTTCACTTTTTATATATATATATATATATATATATATATATATATATATATATACCTTTAATGATATTTGGAAAAATGTTCCTGAAAATATGTTTCGAAAATAATATCCAATAAAGCATTTTACCTATATGGCTTCATCAAAGAGAAAGAGAATGAGTGACTTTTAAAAAATCGCTTAACATTTAATATTTTCTGCCTTAAGTGTCCGAGTTTTGAGATGGAAATCTAGCAGAATGGTTAGAAAATACATGAAAGGAATGGTTTTTAATCATGCGTTCTCCATGTCGACAGTATATAATAAATTTGTGTATGTAATCCCGATAGACTTAAAGTTATTCATATTTGGAAAAAAAACGTTCATCAAATTCTGTTCGATTTTTAGTCTCAAACAACGCCAGCTTTGGAAATATGATATAAGATTTAATTATTTTAAACAAATGCATAAAAACACAACACATTTTTCGTTATCCATCTGATGAAGCCATAGAGGCGAAATGCATTATCGGCTATTATTTTCGAAACATATTGTCAACAATTTAAAATGCTGTCAATAACTTATAACTATGTCGGGATTACATACCCAAATTTTTCCATATTCATACAAAAATATAAATATGTATAGGTAGAAAGTGAGGTTAGCGGCTCGAGATGAGAAATCAGAGACCCATGTTCAAATTCAAGTCGGGCTTTTTACATTCACTTATGTGCAAATAAACTTGCTAATGGTATGAATCCATCTATATCCCTAAAGAGTTAAATAGTAGGAATTTTATCTAAAAAGAAAACGTTGCTATTCTCGAAAATGTCTAATGCAATATTCGCACGCAAATATATATATATATATATATATATATATATATATATATATTCTTACAATACAAATATGTCTCGCCTTTAAATCCAAAGACAAATCAGCAATATTATTGGTCCTGAACTGGCATCTCGTCTTCAGTCACTTTCCCACCGCTGTAACGTAGCTTTCCTGTGCCTTTTCTATAAATACGTTCATAGTAATTGTACGAATAGGCTTTTCGCTATGATAGCTACACTTTAAGTGCAGTACTAGATTGGCGGTAAGGTCTCATTAATTTATACTTGAATTGCCTAGATGTAACCATAAGTTCTATGCTAACAGTTTCTTTTCTCGCACTTCTCGCTTGTGGAACTCTCTTCTGGCTCAATGCTTTCCGGCCATCATTGATCTTCAAAAATTTAAATGTTATCTACTGTCTTCTTGATTATTCTTCTATTGTTCTCGCTCCCTCATAATGTTTCTGTTTTCTAATTCTTTCGCATCCAGTAAACCCTTTGTTTCTTAGTGGCTTTAGTGCCTTGCATGGAGTAAATTCGATTTTTAAAAAATATAATGAAAAACAATAATATTTCATTTAAAAATCATTCTCTTTTTGTTAATATATGCGATTATATTCATTATATACAGTATGCGCTTGGTAATTGAGAACAAATATAATCTATCTTTAAAAGGTAGGATGTGTGTGTGTGTGTGTGTGTGTGTGTGTGTGTGTGTGTGTGTGTGTGTGTAACGAATGCACAGCCGCAATTTTCGACGGATTTATACAAAAATTTACATGCACATGCTCCAATTTAGCGGAAAGACCAAGACCGACGTTGCATTTCCCAACTCCCATCGATAGTGGAAATAATCGATTTTTTCATGCTTCTACGGAAGTTTTCATGTAGTTTGCGGCCATTTTATACTGGCCTGAGTGAGAGCCTATAGCTGACTGCCACGAAAAGGCAGTGAGAGTCAACAGCTGACTGACACGAATGTTAACTAGCATGCTAGCATGCAAAAAAATTCGATAGCTGCATTCTTCACAAGTGGGAAAAATTTAAATCTGCATGGCACTTTACTCCAATTGGCTCATTCGCTTGCTTAAACTCAACGTTGATTCTAATTCCGCAGAACTGAGTTGGGTGTGAAAAAGTATTTGTTGTTAACATTCTTTTTTCATTCGGTTTTTCCAGTTACGAGTCCTTTTTTAAAGCTGATCGTTTTGTGTTCATTTTGTTTAGTTCTTTTTTCGTAACAGATTTAATGTTTAGTATAGAGCTTAAAAAAATTCGCAGTGTGAGATAGGCAAGAAGTAAGGCATGTAGCAAACATCAGCACGGCAAAGGGCACTCCTTTAAAAGGCAAGGAAGGGCAAAAATATTTTAAGTCAAGTGATTAATAGACAGCAGTTTAATTTTAGAGTCATTCTCTTCATTATGAAATGACGAAATACTTTTTAATTTTTCTCATCAGTTTTTCTGTTCCGCCACCTTTCCCATAACTTTAATTGTTCACAAGAGCCATGCTGCTAGTGAAGATATAATACAATAAAAAAATAATAGAAAGAAAAACAAAGATATTCGATCTAATAATCTGAGAGGCCCTTTTATGATTTTCACCAGCATGGGAAGTAACTCGTTTGGCCTTCACGGGTTAACATTCTCGTCTGACATACAGTGGCAAGACTACATTGAATCCATTGCTAGGATATTTACTAAGAAAGTTGGCACACTGTCTCATGCAAGACAATTATTTCTCTCTAGAATCTATCTTGCATATCTATAGGTGTACCATTCGCCCATGCTTAGAATATTGTGCTTTAAGTCGCTTTAATTCCTCCTGGCCGAAGAGGCCAACAATACAATCTTCAGAGAAATCGTTCTATGAAGGAAAATGCTGTATATTATTAATGAATGGTATTCTTTCAAAATTTTAAATCGTTCCCTTTTTTCGCTTTTGTTGCCGTTGAAAGAGAGAATGACATTATGGCAACTCGGAATTCTTTTCACAAAATCAATTTTATACATTGCCAATATTTCTTTTATTCAGAAATTTAATATCTGTTTACAAGGTGTCTCCGAGCGTTTTAATTTAGTATGGGAAGCTCTTGTGAACAATTAAAGTTATGGCAAAGATGGCGGAACAGAAAAACTGATCAGAAACATTAAAAAGTATTTCGTCATTTCGTAATGAAGCGAATGACTCTAAAACAAATCTGCTGTCTATTAATCATCTGAGAAACCCCATTCTGCTTTCCATTAACATGGCTGATGCTAACCTCCAGGGGAGCGATTTTGCGCCTTTTGGAATTAACATTCTGGGCTGAGATACAGTGGCAAGACTACATTGAATCCATTTCTAGGACATTTACTAAGATAGTTGGTTCACTGTCTCATGCAATACAATTTTTTCTCTCTAGAATCTATCTTGCATATCTATAGGTGTACCATTCGCCCATGCTTAGAATATTGTTGCTAAATATGATCCGGTGCTCCTGCTATTTATCAACAGACACTTGATAAAATCCCCAAAATCAGCAATATTATTGGTCCTCACATGGTGTCTCGGCTTCAGTCACATTCCCACCGATGTAAAATTACCTCCCCGTGACTTTTCTGTAAATATTTAAAAGCAGTTGTTCTCCAGGGTTATATACTTGGATCTACTTTGTTTGTAATTTTCATTAACGACCTTCCAGATAACCTTAGCTTTCAACCGAGTGTCTATGCCAATGACACAACTAATTACTCCAGTTTCAATACTCAATCTGATCAGAACGATAAGGTCAAGTTGGTAGCTGATCTCAAAAAACGACCTACTGTCTGTTATGAACTTCAGCAAAGAATAGCTTGTAAATTTTAACGCCTCCCCCCCCAAAAAAAATACTGCTTTCTATTAATCACCTGAGAGACCCGTTTATGCCTTTCACAAGCATGGCTGATGCTAACCTCCATGCAAGTGACACATTGCGCCTTCTCGAGTTAACATTTTCCGTTATATTAAATCCATTCTGAGGTCAGCTGCTAAGAAAGTTGAT